AGAACCGTTAGTGAAAGGGTTTATAAAAAAAATCAGTTAAAATCAGAAAGCTCTTGTTAATGTTAAAATTCAAGCAATTACGTATGATGGTTTAGAGAATAATTTCTTGGACACCTGTCTATTGTTTGTTAATTTTTGGGCATTTTTAACACTTAAAGTACTCTTGTTTATCTTTGTTTTCTTATTTATGTAATGTGACGTTTTTTATGCTTTTAATCACGAGACAGTTAAAATAAAATTATTTTTTAATTTTTTTTTTTGTAGAAAATGCACAGACTGTTTTAGAAACATTTAAATGTTTCTAAAGTAGGTATTTGTTAATTTCACGCATGTACGAGTGCACAATTCCTCTTCTGTTTAAGTATCAGTTTCTTTGTTGATAGTCATGGGCTATTATAGAAACATTTTTGGAGATCACTCTTTATATTAAATGTTAAATTAATATTTGAAATCAAATATTTCAACTTGTGAGGACTCTTGATATGTTGAGAGAGAAACTAAGACATATTTTACAGTGTTATTGTTAAAGAATATTCCAAACCATTGTTTGTTCATTAAGCAAGAATATTGTTTTTAGTTCATTTATTTTTAATATTAAAGTACCAATATTGTAAAATAATATTGGTACCTAGTTTGTTATATAATGAGAATCTATTGGATACATTGCCCCATTTTCCATGTAGTATAGATACCACCATGATACCAAAAATATTTGCTAAATAACTATATAAAGACATGTCCCAATAAATTAGGGGAATATACATTTATGTATAATCTTAATATTGTTTTAAACTAGCTATAATGTTTTATAGGCACCACAAACACATCTATTTTATATGTAGGTATATCTAGGAAAACTAATATTTAAAACCATAAAATTTTCAATGACAATATATTAATGAGCGGTTATGAGAAGAACAAAAAGACAAAAAGAGACATCGACAAGAATAGAAGTCCAAACTGGCGCCTAACAACTTGTCGCCCGATTACAGGGATGACGTCCACTACAAAACAAATAAAAATGCCCCTAATAAATCAACCAGAAGTACCTAAGCTCTGGTCTCTGTCTTCATCGTTAAACTGAACCGTTCCATCCTCTTTCTTTCAGCAATTTATGTTGTACCGTAGCCAAACACCCAGAACTGTCAATGAATTTCTGCAAAGAATGGGCAGAATATTTGAGTCTGTAGTAGTAGGCTCTGGTTTCTATTCAATGAACGTGGCGCCTGTCATGGATTACTACGGTTTTACGAAAGGAGGCATGTCATTGTATACGGTCTATAATTTTCTCTGACATTTCTCCTCCTTTAAAGATATAAAACGTTAATTTATGTCAATATTAAGTATAATTTGTAAAATCATCATTTATTTTTATTTTAAACCTAAGAGGGATATAAAGGACACAAAACGTGTCAAAAAAATAGGGGAATTATTTTAATTTTAATTTTAATTTTCTGTTATAGAGGAATGACATCCGATGAGATATTTAGATAAAACAAATACCCTTCTTGGTCTCCGTATTACAATATACATGAAAACAGTGGCGGATAGTATGATAATTCAAAACTTTGTACAAACGCCAATGTCGCTGTTCTTTGATTTGGGTTTGTATTTAGTGTAGTTATTTACTATCAATATCATACTGTTTATAAACTCTACAACTATTAACTTCCTGTACTCTAGTGATATATAATCGATAAACAAACGATTATTAAAAAAAATCGACTATTTCAAAATAATCGATTAATCGAAAAGAATAGATTATTTTTAAGTAATCGATTAATCGAAAATAATCGATTATTTGAAATAATCGATATTTTCATAATCCTAGTTATAACCTAACGTTTTTAGCAATCATTATATAGGAAGTTTTATTTGAGTAATTGGAATTTTTTTATAAATTTATAGAAATCTACTAAAATGTAACAAACAAATGTTGTACTAATGATACGTTGGAAAAGTACCTCCGGGAGCGGAGTATAGCCAATGATCATCGAACAAATCGATCTTATGTGGAATAAAAGAACGGCTATGGATTTGTTTGTGTTTCCTGTTTCCAGTTTTCATTAAAATAACAAACTTAAACCTTCCTTTTAAATCAAATTTGATCTCTCGTCTCGTGGTTTTTGTTGAAAGTAAAGTTAATTTTTGGCTGTGGTATTTTTAGCTTTTTGCTTTCACTAGAAAATAAATCATGTTCTCATTACTGTAAATATTTTTTCATAACCAAACAAATATGAAAAAGGATAAACTGCAACACAAGAGACAACGTCTGTACATCTCAGAAAAGTACATCTACTTTGTCAATTGTCACAGAAATTACATTTACTCCGAAAGCCCTAAAATTTAATTCAGAGTAAATAGATCTTACTCGACTTATCACCTCTGCATTAAAAGACCACGGAGCAGATCCCATCGAGAAGCCACAGATGTATTAAAAGAACGGCTTCGAGTAAAAAGAGCAATCGTTGGTAATTTTCAAACGCAGCATAAAACAGCAAAAAAATCTGAAAATCTACTAAAAAAGTTGAAATCTACTAAATGTGGTAACGTTGAATCAAAGTCATAGTAACCCGACCAAGCAAAACAGAATTGCTTTTATCATTACAATTAGGCATTCCAAACAAATGAATTGCCAGTGGGAAGGTTTGGTATATTTAACGGTTGCGACATACGATGTATTCTATCTTCTATAATACGTAAAATCATGAATACTGGATTACATTTAAATATTTTATGTTGAACACAATAAAAATATTATTTATAAAAACTGTACATTTTTTTTAAAAATTGGCAATCTTGACGACTGGTATTTCGAATAAAAATAGCGTCCAAGATGCAAGACTATTTCGCTACCTCCTTAGACCTTCCCACTGGCAGGTATTGCTTGAAAGGTCGTTGGAATGCCTAATTGTAATAGATCTATTATATTTTGGTTTGTCATTACATCAATACTACAATTCAAAAATTATGTAAACAGAGTGTTCCGCATAAGTACCGACATAGAACAGGTGGGTGTTTGGCACCCCAAAATATGATAATTTAACCCAATTTACCTCTATACCAAGTTGTACCCCTAAAGAGTTACGGAGGCCTAAAGTGGGGCCATAAATTTCGAAAAAATTTCATATTTCTGCAACGGTTTAACATAAGAAATCTATATTTTTTAGACGCTTCATGAGCCTTAATTTGGGGGTGAGTAAAAATTAACTGAAATATTTTAAGGGGTGGTTTTGAGGTAATCGACCCTTATAACTATACAGAACTTTTTTGTCGTCATGGTTACCTCAAAACCACCCCTTAAAATATTTCAATTAATTTTTATTCACCCCCAAATTAAGACTCATGAAGCACCTTAATAATTTACCAAATATAGATTTTTTTAAGTTAAACGGTTGCAGAGATATTAAATTTTTTCGAAATTTATGGCCCTACTTTAAGCCTCCGTAACTCCTTAGGTACAACTTGGTATACAGGTAAATTGAATTAAATTATCATATTTTGGGTTGCCCAACACACATCTGTTCTGTGTCGGTACTTACTATTATGTGATAAAACCTAAAACAACAAAAATTAACCAAACGTTCCCATCTAAACGTGATTATATTCTCATTTTAATACAAGTTAATTTTTTTATTCCAATTTACGTCAGTCTTAATCTTTTTGGAAAATAAAACCAAAAACTTATAAAAAAATGTTACTCAATACTACAAAAGTTAAGTCTAGTTACCAAACATAGGATATGCGCGTGCGTAGAACAAGATAGCAGAAGAAATAGTAGACTTTTGGGTTCATCACTTTTCTATTACATTTATTATATTGAAATCTAGTATTTTTAGCCCCCTCTCATAACAACGTTGAAGCGAAGTTAAATGTCCTACCACGTCACCATGGGCGGAACGCGGAACAAACCTTTTTCCAAAGTAAAGTTAGAAATACATTGTAAATCCCATAAACAATTTTGAATGTTTTGTTCATTTATAAATTGAGATTAACATGTATGAAAATAATAAAAATATTAAAATTTATTTTTATTTATTTATTTTAAAATGATGTGATTTTATAAAATTTAACTAGGTGTTCACTGCACAAATGAAACCAATGGAGAAACCGCCCTTGGTATCAGCCATATATACCACATTTCCACATCATCGTCTTATTATAGTATATATGTACTTTTTCAAAATTTGTTCTCTGTAGGCTTAATCACTACATTCTTCAACTACATAAAATGTATTCTTCGTCATTATCGTTCTTTTTCTTTAAAGATATTTCCTCCTCTATTGTGTTTGCTCCTTTAGCTCAGTAGACGATATAACTGGAAGTATTATCTACATTTGCCGTATCAATGGAGGCACCAACTGGAGAACATGATAATCCCACTGATCCATAGTCTTTCATATAATTTCATAAGATCTTGGGTTAAAATCTTTTAGCTCGATATGAAATGTGGAAACAGTACTCTATATTAACAATTTATAGAAGACTGTCAAAATGCCGAAGCCAAGTTGTTGATGATCAAATTCTGAAAGGATAAATGAGCGACAACCTAAGTAACGCCCTATTTTCAATTTGATAAGAAGGTGGAATACATTGATATCGTAACAACTAAGAAATATTTACATAAATATGCATCTTCTAAGCATTTTTTTTGGCGATTTTATGAATTACTTGAAAATAGTGAAGAACTAAAAGGATGCTAACTCATAAATATAGTACAATGGTTATAATGGGACCTGAGTGCTGTGGAGCTAAGTCCACCCTCTCAATTTTTTAGATGCATATACAAAAACCCCTTGCTAATGATATTGGAACGTATGGCCTCCGCGAGCCTTCAATAATTATATGTTGTCCTTATTTAAATAATTTGGTTCAGTTATCCACTTGAGAAATCTTTTCATGTAGGTACTTGCATTTTGGATCAAATGGAATACAAAATTGACCGGACTATTATAACTTAATACCTAAAGCTCAAACTTTGATTTCTCTTTTTCTTTCAGAAAAGAATCGAAGGACAAGTCACTGCGTAGGGTGCGGAGGCCAAATTCACGACCAATATATCTTGAGGGTGGCACCGGACCTGGAATGGCATGCGGCGTGTCTCAAATGTCAAGAGTGTCAACGGTTTCTTGACGAATCGTGTACGTGCTTTGTTAGGGATGGGAAAACTTATTGTAAGGTGGACTACGTCAGGTAAGAAAAACAAATTCTTATTTAAATTTGCATACTCAGAAAATACGTGTATATCACGCAGATATGTATTTTTTTAAAATTAACGATTTCGGTCAACGACGAACAACTAATTTTCTTTACAAAAATCAAATGGCAAATATTCACAGTGTCATCCATGTAGTTGTCAAATTATTGTGAGAAAGTATGGGAGAGTATTGTTGAAAAGATTGTTTATAGTTATAATTCGGTATTGACTAAACATTAGGCTATAAAGTGCACAAAAGGCTTGCAAAATTGCATAAGAGAAGTATATTAGCATTCTTAATGTCAGTTATTATCAATTTAATGTATTTTTTCTCGTTGCAACTATTATAATAGTTGAATAGTGTTTTTCACACATACTTTGATTTTCTTTTACTATATAGAGAATGGTCGCACTGCGCAGCTTTCTGAGTGCCTTTTAAAAGGAGATAGAAAACTCCGCCATTTTGATCCCTTATTACGTGTTGCCTACATCTTGGCGCAATATTTTTAATAGGTGCGTTTTAATTATCCGCTTCTGCTTCGGAATTGTCGGTTTTCTTGTTTTAATCTGACAGGTTAAAACGACTAAACCGACAATTCCGGGAGCAGAAGCGGATGATTAAAAAGCACCTGATATTTTGCTTGCTGCTGTCAGTGTCAGTGAATATTATTTTTGGAGTCACAGTTTATTGCTAAAGAATCAGTTAGCTCACTCTGACCAGTTGAAAGTTCCAAAATAACATCCACTCCAGGGATACAAATTCAGGATACGCAGAAGACTGCTGTTTTCTTATAGGCGGTTATCATATATTGTATTATCCGAGTGAGGCAGTGTATAAACTGGAACATTGAGATCAAAAGTGCCGACGCAGAGTGAGCGATCTGATTCTTTAGCTATAAACTGTGGCATAGGAATCAAAATGGCCGCGCCCTATGTTGGGCGTGTCGGACCTCTCTCTTGCACCGTATAGTAATCAAGGTATGTGGTTTTTCAAAAAAGTACGCAATTACTCGTAATTTTGAAGTGTGACAGCAGTGTAAAGCAAGCGTAAATAGACGTAAATATCGATTCATTAACAAGTATTATAAATTAAAAATTTAAAAAAACCGACTTTAAAAACGTGCAGATGCCATAACCACATCTCAACCAAATTTATATGGGACCATCCCTGAGGTACTCCCTTATTATCAAAAAAAAAGAATCATGTAAATCGGACAAGGTGGTAAAGCATTATCGCTAAACATACATAAAAAATGAAGAGTTTGAGGATTTTCTCATGGACCCAATTATTAGATTTTAACCAAATTTATATGGGACCACCCCTGAAGTACCCCCTTTCTAACAAAAAGAGAATCATTGAAATCGGACACCAAGTTAAAGAATTATCGCTGAAGATACATAAAAAAAAAATCGCGACGAATTGAGAACCTCCTCCTTTTTAACCTACTTCAAAAAGGAGGAGGTTCTCAATTCGTCGCGATATTTTTTTGACATTTTTGATGTGATCATTCCAGTTTAGTCTGGTATCGAAAATCATACGTAGAAATTTTGTAGTCTTTACAAATTCCAGTTTTTTTCCGTAGAGCCTAAGTTCTGGTAGTTCATGATTGTTATTTTTAGAAAATATCATGCATTTTATCTTTAAAGTTGAGAAGTGAAATCCTGTTCTATCAGACCATTTTTCTATATCATTTGTTTTTGTAATATTGGCTTCTTCGTTGTGATGCTTCTGCTTTTAATGAACATTACTAAGTCGTCAGCAAATAGTCTCATTTTGACTGGCTTTTGAACATTTTCTGCAATACCATTGATTGCAATAAGAAAGTACAAATTAGCAAAAAAAGTTGAACGTAGAAAAAGAAAAAAAAGAAAATTAAAATTAAAAAATTAAAGATGATTCAAAAACCATTTTCATCTCTGCTGGTTAATATTAGTTTACTACGTTATTATTTAAATAGGTTTAGTGTTATAATTCATCTTTCCTCACATAGAAGTCCTTAAAATTATTATTTATTGTACTCTTTACACAGCAGTCTGTGAAGAGTATTATAGGTGTACTTTGTCCGTCCGTCCGATGTCACATTTTTGTCCGCATGATAAGTCAAAAACAAAAAATGATATAAACTTGAAATTTTTAACAAAAATCAAGGTGATGAAGCCTATTGATTCTAAAGAAACTAAATGAATTGGGAGGTTAGGAAAGTTAAAATATTACAAAAATAAATATTTTTCTCGTTAACGGTCGCATATACAAGAAAACTACAGGAGACCAAAAAGTTTCTAAACAAAACAGAAAATTTATTTTGTATTTTAGGGACTACCAGTGACTGGGCAGAGGAAGAATACAATCCATCTGTCTATGATTGGCAAACTGCCAAACACATTATAGACGATCAAAAAATTATATAGGCAATATCCAGCTTCTCTCCATTTAAATCGCCAGGACCTGACGGTATCCATCCAGTCCTACTTCAGTGGGGTCTGGAAGAACTCGCACCACATCTGGTGGGTATATTCAGATCCTCGTTGGCTCTGAGGTATATCCCCAAAAAATGGAGAGAGATAAAAGTGGTATTTATACCCAAACTTGGAAGGATTAGTCTGACATCGTTTTCCATGAAGACATTGGAAAGGCTATGCGAAAGGTACATAAGGGATGCAGTGATTACAACAAGACCACTACACCCAAACCAACATGCATACACCCCAGGCAGATCTACTGATTCAGCCCTTCATCTAGTTGCTGGACGGATAGAAAGATCCCTGGACAATAAGGAGTCCGCCTTGGGTGTTTTCATAGACATAGAAGGTGCTTTTGATAAAACCACCTTTCCAAAGATAATACACTTATTAACCAATACAAATGGTTAATGGGTGGATACATAACATGCTCTCAAAGAGAGCACTAAACATAAGTGTAGAAGATGTGAATATAAGAGGTTTGGTTGCGAGGGGATGTCCACAGGGAGGGATGCTATCACCTCTACTATGGAATATGGTCCTCGACACCCTCATCAGCCGCCTCAATAATGACAGTTCATATACAATAGCATATGCAGATGACCTGGTCATTCTGCAAACAGGGAATTTTGAGAACATAATCTGCGAAAGAATACAAGTAGCTCTAAAAATTATCGTGAAAGGACCATTCACTGTCTATCAATCCTAAGAAGACAGAGATGGTCCATTTCACAAGGAAAAGGATGAAAATGGAATTAAAATTTTCAGAACTCCTAAACACAAAACTAAACTTTGCAACAGAGGTGAAGTACCTAGGTCTCACCTTTGACAGCAAGTTAACATGGAACTCGCATTTAGAAAACAGATTTAGAAGAGCATACATTGCTTATGAACAATGCCGCCGAACCGTGAGGTGCACGTGGGGTTTCTCCCCCAGAGTCGTCGCATGGACTTACACGGCTATTACAAGTCCTATGCTAACATACGGTGCAGTTGTCTGGGTACCGAAAACCCCAAAATTAACAGCTATCCGTAAACTAGAACAAATTTAAAGAGCAGTATGTCTCAACATAACAGGAACCATGAAAACAACACCGACCAGGGCCATGGAAGTCATTCCTAGTCTCACTCCCATTGATATTTACATCAAGGAGATTGCTCTGACGACAATGACACGCCTCCGCATGGTTGGAATAGAACCTGATGTAGGATCTGGTGAGGCGAGATGTCGCTTTTGGCAGGAGGCGCTCGATACGTTCCCACTGCTTCAAGCGAACATGGACTCCATCTCACCGAGATATATCTTCCATAAGCCATATAAACTTATAATAGAACCAATAGAAGAGCCGGAAGTGGCAGGTACGATTCATATCTACACCGACGCGACGGTTCTAAAACAAAACGAGGCTCAAGATGTGGAATATACTCCAGATTTTTAAACCATAACATAAAATGGCCTGTGAGCAATAGTGCCAGTGTAGTTCAAACAGAGCTAACGGGGATTCTCATAGCAGCAAAAGAAATAACCAGAAACAATATCACTGGAAGGAACATGCTCATCTCTATAGATAGCAGACAAGCACTACTCACCCTGAACTGACCACGAATTTACTCAGGGTTAGTATTAGAATGTCACGAAGCTTTGGCCGAAGTATCCATCAACAATGTGGCCACCTTAAGATGGATCAAAGGTCACGCCACATCGAAAGGTAACCGTCTTGCTGAATCACTAGCCAAGAAAGCAGCCAACAAAATACTTTTTGGACCTGGCCCTTCTATTGGCCTGACAAAATCGGTAGTGACAGACCTAATCAAAGAAGATTCCCTTGTGAAATTTAAGGAAAGATGGAATAAAACAAGAAACTGCAGAGTTGTCAAGGAGCTCTTAAATTATCCTGACAACACTGCAGCAAACAAATACAGACAGAATCTGCGCCTAGTCACAGGCATTCTGACTGGTTATTGCCAAGTACGAAAGCATCTCTATACCATGGTCTGTCAGAATCTGCACTCTGCAGAGCGTGCGAACAAGAAGATGAGACGATCGAGCATATCCTTAACGATTGCTCGACGCTCTCATTTATTAAAATATTTGTGTTCGGCAAGCATCGGCGAACACCGGCCGATATAAGAGAAGCACTTCTTGGCGACGTTGTCAACTACATTCAATCTATAGGCTGGCTCACGAGCTAGGAGGTGCCTATCATCTAAGGAGGATGCACAATGGGCATAAGTGCCATGGGGGGGGGGGGACCCACCCTCCACACGTTACAGATACAGAGGGACTACCAGTGAAATTTCAACACCCCGTCGATCGGTAACGAAGCGTTTTGATGTTTATATAAAATTTATTAATATTAATTTAGAAAATATTTATATACCAAAATAAAAATGTAAATTCCATTTTCAGTAATTTTTGGCCGACCCTGTAACAAATAAAAATGTACGTCATTAGTTATAACAGAAATATTGTTTGATAGAAACATAAATATAAAAAAAATTTATAGATAATAAAATTACAAAGATCAAAAAGTGT